AGATGATGGAGCACGTTATTTCATAAAGTATGATAACTTAGCTTCTAGGACACACTGTTGGTAGCTAAGTTACTGAAAGTTAGTGCTGACTTCTGAAAATATGGGGCATAAAATAATGCAGAACTTAATCGTGGTGGGGGTTTTTCAAAGAAGTTTTTTTTGCGACTCTTTTTATCCTAGATTAAGGTTGTAGATCCCAAGATGAAGAACTGTGCTACCCTGGCAGGCACAGGAGAAGCAAGCAACATCACTGGTTCCAGCTTTACACAGTCAACATTTAATGAACCAGGAGGTTTGTGTGTTGAAGAAAATGGCCGCTTGATGTATGTTGCAGACACCAATAATCATCAGATTAAAGTGCTGGATTTGGAAACAAAAATACTTTCCATGGCAAGTAATACTTATTTGACAGTCTGATAGTGGTGTTTCTTGATGCAAATTGCTATTTCAGGCTTTGGGAAGTAGCATAAAAATCATACAGCTAACACAATTCTTGCATACAGTAGCTATATTCACAGAAGGTTTTGTGATGAGCTGACAAGTAAAGATTGCTTGTTGTTAAGATAGCACAGATGTTGAAAGCTTAAGTCGTTGGAAAGGAATCTTTTGCATGAAAACAAAATGATGATCCTCTAGAAAAGAGCAGTGCAGAAACATGAGTTATTAAAAAATACAGGCCAGTTTTTCAATATGAAAAGCATTTCAGGAGCACTTTGTAACAAGTGGAGGTTGAAATCAATTACTAAGTCCTGTAATTAAGCTGTAAGAGGTGATTTTGGGAGGTCAATGACTTGAAGTGGCATACACAGCGGGCTTCCAAGTGTCAAGTCAAAACCACTGTCATAATTGAGCAGTGCTGTATTTGCTTATAAACATGAAGGCAAAACAACTTTGTGCCCCTGTCCATCTTACTATGTCTTAATGTTTTCATATAAACATATATATGTGTTAGACACAATAGTTCAACTGTCATCTTGTATGTGTCTTGCATTTAATTGTACACCATCTTAATGTGTGTTTAAATTCTCCTACCATATAGCATGTCGATTTTTTTTCTGGGGAATTATCCCTTGGTGTGCAATCTGCATGGTAAAAATCTTGGATTTTATTACTGAAGCATGCAGTTGTCACCAGATTAGAAGAATATACCTCTAAATTCTATTTCAAGTAAAAATACATTGCACCTTTTAAAATGTTAAGTTAAAGGATACTTTAAAGTAGTTGTAGATTTGATGCTAAGCATTATGTTTATTTGTATTAACCAGTTTTGTCTTTTCAGTTTGCAAAAAGCATTTTGTCCTTCCCTTTGTCTTTGTCGATATAGTATTGTTACAGACAGAAAGTTTTAGTCCAGTAGCCATATTATCATGTGTTAGTTTTCCTAGTCCCTGTCAGCTTTGAAACTGTGTTTGCATTGTGAAAGCCTCTTTGCTTTCAGTACAGATAAATATTTTGCTTGATTTCTACCAACAGTTGCCTATCCTGAATCCAGAAGCAGGTGATGTTCCAGATAACCTGCCTGTGCAAAAGGAAAAAATGACAAGCCTTCCAAAGCTGCCTAAATCTGCACCAAATGTTCAACTTCCTTCACTAACAGTAGCTCCTGGCCAGACAATTCAGTTTTTATTAAAGTTGACTCTTCCTCCAGATTCAAAACTGAATGAAGAAGCACCCAATTCCTGGTTTATCACAGCAGAAGGTAAAGTGCCTGTGTTGATTTATCAGTCGAACGGGAGTAGGTGCGACACAAAGTGGGTTATATCACGATGTGCCTGTGATACAGGGATCTCAGTGTGGTGAATCAGAATGTCCTTCCCAGTCCTGTGTTCCTGTTTGACCTTGTGATGCAATACATGGTATTTAGAGTTGATACATTTAACAGCTGGAGTGTGAAGATTAAAAAAACCCAAAACACCTGATAAGCTGCCTTTTGCTTGAATTAATACCTGATGCATTATTATCTTTATTTTCATTTACTTTCTTGGAATAAGCTGCCAGTGAGGGCTTGCCCTCTCCTCTTTGTCTCTATGAACAGCTTATTCCAGCATTATTGTCTGTTTCAGAGAGAAAGCTCACCATGAAGCTGTAGCATATTCCTGAATGGGCTTCCTTTTTTTCTTTGCTTTTGCCTCTTTCAAAAAGTATTCGAGGTACATTTATACCTAACCACTTTAAACCTACTTTGTTGTAATTCATATTTGCATATTTCTTCCTTTAAAAGCAGTCAACAAATACAGGCACTTCAATTTGTTTATATGCCTTGTGATTTGAAGTAGTTTCTCATCCCAGTTTGTGCTTTTGGAGTCCAAATAGATTATTTCCAGGAGAGTCAGCACACTTTTTGGCCTAGAGAATTTCCAAATGTTGTTGAAGGAGAGATATATGTGATTGCTTCAAGGGGTAGTAAAATTGGAGACTCTAACGACCTAAACTCAACAAGTCGTTTCGAGCTCATAAATTCTAGAGCCAACTTTATGTATTTTCTGAAAAATGCCAAAAAGAGCACTTCATCCATCTCACTCACAGTAAAATATGGAGTACAATGCAAGGAGCTAGGTACATTTATTGTGCAGTTCATTTTTCAGTTCACGTACTCTTACATATTTAAATAAATGTGAAACTCAAGTTCTGTTCTAACAGTCAGCCTGAACATTGCTAAATTGCAGCAACCCACTCATAAAACCAGCACTTCTGTTTGGAAATGCCATCATTTACCTGCAGTTTTATGCATGTATAGCAGATATCTTGCCTGGAGTGTTTGATACAAATGTACAGAATCTTGTTAATTTAAGGAGTTTTGCTTGCATATCTCAGAATAAATTTTAATATCCTCTGAAGAACATAGGACAAATTATAGATCCAGTGCATTTAAGTAAGATTGACTGTATATATACTTATAATTTTGAAGCAAAGCTATGGATTGCTCCATCCTTAAGTGACTGCTAGAAGCATTTGTAAATTGCTATCCTTTTTTAATTGTCCACGACTGGAAAAATCAGGAGGGAAATTTTTCCTAATGTTACATATGGAAAGTCCCTGTTGTCTTACAGGTAAAATTAGTGTGTTCTGTAGGTTTCAGACATGGTGTTAAATATCCTAATCTCAAACCTTTGTGTTCCTTTACAGATAATAACTGGTTGCTTCAAGGACAGTGTCTGTTTGGAGAAATAAAGGATGTTTCCAGTCAAACTGTCATTCCCTTTCAGTTACCAGGGAGCTGTCTATCAGCTGAAGCTATCCTGGCTATCAAAGTGTGCCTCTACTATTGCAGCAAAGGTAGCAATGCCTGCATGATGAAAGGAATCTCATTCAATCAGCCTTTACAGATAGCTAGTACAAACCAAGGCAGCTTGACTAAAGTTGAACTGATACACACGTTTTTAAGTAACTAATCTGAAGCCAGCTAATTTCATACTTTACTTTAGTATCCACCATTTCTATAGGAGAAAATGCAAATAGGTAACTTTTCTCTATTTTTCATTTTTTTGGAGCTTATGACAAAGCTAAGAAATAATAAACTTGATGAAATTAGAGTTCCCTACAGCTTAACATGAAAATTAGCACAACCTCACTTCTTTTCATCACAGTAGCAGCAATAATATTGTAATACTTGAGGCTCTGTTGCCAGTTGTGAATATGTTGGATGTATGCCATTCTAAGCAATGAGCAACCATTGTTAGAGTCCTGTTGAAAGACCTGGTGTTGCTTTGTGATGTTACTGTAAGAAAGTCTTTGCACTGTACATACTGTTAGAATAGCTAGATCTTTTTGTACTAACAGTTACACAAATTCATTTTGTGCCCTTACTAACTTTTAATAGAATGTCCAAATGAATAGTTCCTTTCTCCAGGTTGTAAAAGAGGTATCTTGCTTATTTTTCTGGAATGGAATTTATGACACATGTATTTTGAAAATACATCATAAGCTAATTGTGGGTCTGATTTTATGCAAACTGAGTGTTTTGCTTACCTACATATGACCGCCTTATGTGAAGAGCATAGCTTCATGGAAAAATTTCTGTGACAGGAAACATTCATGTTCCTACAGAAGAATATTTCTAACAAAGAATGTGCCTCTCTAATGTGTATATATATAAAGAAAAAAGCCCACAGAACCATGCTGGAGTTTTTCTGATACACACCAATTTACATTTTATAGTAAGTGGGAGATAAAGTTTGAATTATCTAAACTGCAAAAATGAAATGTCAAGTATGTCAAGCAGGGTGAATCACTTTACTACTTTTATGATTTCTCTATAAAGACTTGTCTGAAGACTTTTTTCTAGCAAGTACATAATATTAAGAAGAATGTTATACTCTTGAAGTCTGTTTCAGAGTCTTTTGAAGTCACTGTTAGCCCTTCCGTTTGTAATAGCGGCCACTGAACCAGAAGTATATGTTTAATAATGAATTATTTGCATTAATGTTCTTTTTGCTAGAAAATCTAATCTTTGAGTAAGGTGCTTTAAAACTGTATTACAAAATTCTGCCTTTGGTTGCTTCACAAGTAAAATTCCTTCAGTTTGCCACAGTAAGTAATAGGAATACAGGAGGGAGTGCAAGTTTTTTACCTGAAGAGTTTCCTCGGTGCTGAAGTGGCACTTGGATTAGGCTCCCTGCTCGGGTCATGAGGATCAGTTCTGAGAATATGATTTTGTTTTAAGTTTGAAGATAGCATTTTCATATATGAAGTACAGTAGTGAAAGAATTTTTATATAGTCTGTTCTAATCACCACTGTTCCTGACACCTGTCAGGAGTCATACCACAGTATGATTTGTTGTGGCTTTTTCCTACTTAAAGGCTGACTGAAATGTTGGTCATGAACCCGAAAGGCTTTTGTTTTAAGGGAACCATGCAGACTGGTGTGGTTTTTCCTTCCATTCAAATGCCAGTCTATCTGCAAGTTCTTTCTAGTACCAGAAATGGTTATTATCTCACCTGTCAGCAAGGCAAGGGCTGAGCTATTATTTTTCTTGTGTTTGTTTTTTAAGTGACTTTTCTTATTCAGTGTTTCAGCTCCTTTGGGTAGGCCTCTCAATTCTCACATGCCATTTTGAAGAAGGAGAAAGCTTTGCTACTTTGTTCACAGATTGCAAATGCTATTGGAAAGATGAAGGTAAAGAAATTGATTTGGGCATTTTGTTTGTTTGCTTGACTTTGGATAGTAGCCAGGAAACCTTAGATCACCTCCCAGGTAGCCCACAGATTTTCTATTGCTTACTGGAAAAAACAAACTTTAGTTTCAGAAGTTCAGAATAATGAACCACACTCTTACAGTTATCTTGAACATACAATTCAACAGATGCTTTTTTTCTCATTATCAACTAGAATTACATTATATTTGCCTATTTCAATTGGATGAGATCATCAAAGGCTGCCTGTATTCCAGTACTCAAAAAAGAAAACCAAAAGTCAACAAATCTGTTTTCTTACTGACTTTTTAATTAATGTATTGCTGTAGAGGAAAGACTGTGTATTCCTAACTTTATTTAACTACGGTGTGTAACGTTTGAATATAGTATTTTAGATACGTTTTCTATCTAAATGTACATACATGAATGTTTCGGTGTCATACCCTTTTTGTTTTCAAGTTTCAGTCACTGTATGTAGACACACTTGGAACCACTATAAGCTTATTGGGAAGAGGTAATAGTAGGTAGTAGGATCACGTCCAGGATCAAACTGTAAAGGACCTTTAAATTATGAATCATAGAATACCAGATTGGAAGGGACCTCAGGGATCATCTGGTCCAACCTTTCTAGGCAAAGCATAACCCAAACTAGATGTCCCAGCACCCTGTCCAGTCAAATCTTAAAAGTGTCCAATGTTGGGAAGGCAGAGGCAGAAGGTGTGATGCCATCTCAAAAAGGCACACAACCCGTTACTTACAAACAAAAGTTGTATATCCCAAAATGCTTTCCCCTCGCATCTGGGAAATACTAAATCCTTTTAAGCTGTAACCTCTCTAGTTTGCAAGGGAGAGCTGCTTTTCCTGACTCTGTGGGTTTCACAAAGGGCCACTGCTCTCTCCAGTCATTCACATTCATCATCTCAGATGCAGCTCAATGTGCACCAGTTCTTGTTGATGAGGTAACTGTTTCTTCTGCTCCTTGCTCAGTCTGTGTTCACTGTGACTTGCCTTTAATCATACAGCCTAACACTATGTTTTGTTTGTCCAAGGAATACCATACACATTCCTGGAGTCTCTCCTGTTTCACTTGTGGTGTGCAGACATTTGAATGTGCTATAATTAGAAAAAAAGGGGGTTTAAAAGCTTATGATGTTTAGGGATACTATTTCCAGTGCTTCCTCTAGGGTTTACAAAATGCTGTTACGGTCAAGCAACAAGTGCTGTCAACGTAACCAGACACTCAAACAGAATAGCATGTACAGGTTACAGAAATTTATTTCAGTTAAGTGCCAGAAAGCATCCTCAAACTATGATTCAGAAAAACAGAAAATGTTACAACTCTGTCAAAATACTGCAAAAAATCAGGTATATTGATGACTGCTACCTCTCTGTATGGTAATTCAGTTTAGTAGTGTTTCCTGATATAAAAATTCTAAGTAGGTTGGTATGGCTCAGCACTCCCAGATTTGTATCTTACAGTAAAAATATGTAATTGAAGACATCTTCAAAACATGTCTTTCAGCTGACTTCAATAGGTTCTGCATCAAACCTTAATAAAGTAATATATTACTCTAACAAATCTCTAAAGAATATTGGTCACGGTTGTATTGTATAATGGAAACAAGTTCAGTGGCATTCTCAGCTTTTAGTTGTAGCTTTTGCTTTTTCTGAAACAGCTTTTGATTTTCAGTAAATATATTAATAGTTCCATCAGATGCTTTTAGAAATTTTTATTTAATTACCATACAATATTCTTCATTAGACTAGGAAAAAGATAATGTGGTTTGAAAGAAGCAGTGCAGTGTGTTTTAATGGCTTTTCCATGTTGTTTGAATTCAGTAGTATCTTTTTGTAGTTTGTTCCCTTCTGTTGAGGGAAGGGAAGGGATGCTGGCTGTGTAAACCTATTGATGGGCACATATTTCATGCATGCATTTTTAGTTGATTCCTTTTTGTGTTAGATTCTCACATGTCATTTTGGGTTTTTCTGGATACGCTGCTTCATAGTTTGTGTTTTGCCTCTCATGTCTTCCACTTGGAGATGTGGTAATGTGATACAGAGCAAGTACAGAACAGATGAGTAATACATGAGAAAGTAGTTTTATAGCATCATATAAATGCCTTATCTGCTTAGCCTAAGAAAAGGTGCATATGGCTTCCAGTACTTTGTAGATATTCTTAATGCACTTTTTTTATTCCAGGGGGCAAATCTTGTAGCTCGAACTATGGGTAAAACTATATCTCTTGCTTAGAGGAGGGGGATGATCAGAATGAAGTGACTTTCCTTCTCATGCAGGGGCATGTCCTTCTGTTCCTTTAATTACTATTTATTTTAGCAAATAGAATTGTATTATTGACCACAATTTCTCTTGATTTTTTTATTCCTAACAGGGTTTTCTACATACGTGGAAGCTTTAAATGTCTGAATTTTAGTTATGAGTGATAGATCTAGTTTAAAATGGCTTATAGTTTAGCAGACAATAGCAGAAATTTATGTGCATTCTTAAGAGCTATAATGTTTAAAAATCACTGTTACTCATTAAGACTTACCTCAGAGGCACACTGCAGCTAAGCTCCCACAGAAGTGTGTTTATAACTTTGTATTGCAACTCAGATGTAAGTCTTTTTACTTGTATAATGTGTGAGAGAGGCTGTGACATGTTGTGTATATGTGTCCTCCAGGCTGCAGTTGTGCTACCTGAGGAGAATTTACCATGCACAGCAGCTTATCAGCCACCCTCCACTAACTCTCCACTCAAATCTGCCAGCTCAGTTGTTAATAAAATTGCTAACACGTATCAGTAATTTTAATTAAACATTTAGTATTTAAAATTAATCATTATAATTTTCATTGAAATCAGTTATCAGGGATTAGAGCTTCCCTGTCCGAAGCAGGGAGAGAATAGTGACAAGCAGTTGGAGACAGTTGTTGAAAATGTGAAACCTGGCTATTTTTTAATTAAAACACCACATCTGTCTTCGTATCCTACAGCAGATCATTAATTTAGAAATGATATTTCTAGTGTTCTACATTCCATTATGTTCATGTAACCCAATTTGAATTCCATCAGAAGCTGTTCTGTATTTTATAGTTTTTGTACTACAACATGTAAAATTCCTCCTCTCATTAATGACTAGGACTCATTCTTTTTAAGGATTCAGCACACTTATGACTGAATTTCTGAGTTTACCTTAGTTTCTTTGTCATAGAATCATAGAATCCTAAAATGTTTCAGGTTGGAAAGGACCTTAAGATCATGT